TGTGAGTAGTCCAGGGAGCCTTTAAAAAAGAATCCCCTCACCCTCCCAGGATTCTGGTCTGTTTCCCTAGAGCAGCTCAGTTGCCCTTGAACATCCTTTATTCTGCGGCACTGGTTTGACCCTAGAGCATCACGTCGTACAGCCTGAACAAGACAGACACAACCCGGCCCTCACAGAACTTCCATCCCAGGACCACTAATGAGTTTAGAGACCCTAGAGGCTCTTGAGAAAGGAAGTGTCTAAGTATGGGGACTACAGACAAGGAAGAATGGAATGAAAAAATAAAGCTTTGAATGGTGGCCAGCTGGGAATTATGTTCCAACAGAGCTTCTGGGAGCCAAATGCCACCATGGGAAAATTCACCAACGCATATGAGAATTACTGCCCCATTTGCTAACAAACTCCAGCTCAACAGGGGCCCATCGACCTCTCCTCTTGATCCTCAAATGCGTCTCATTCCTCCCTTCTTTTCTCCACAATTCATACCCAAACGAGAAAGTAACATTTTTGTAAAACCTCTCAAAGTCAGACAATGACCCCTATCCCCCTCAAACTGGGCCACTCTGGATCCTTCCAAACTACTGTGCCGCTTAAGTACAGACTGTCCCTTTACGGAGAAGCGTGCTCAAGATTCTAACATACAGAAATGTCCATCCAATGTACTCCGTTGTAATTTGATTGGCAAAATATTATTAATACAGGCTATCTAAAAGCACTGACCGTAAGTAGCCTCTTTATATAGAAGCTGGCGCTAATCGTAATAGTAAGAATCATGGGCGGGAAATTAAATCCTCAACAACGAGGGGATATACTGAAGATTAGGGCAAAAGAGTTCTGGAAAAAGTCCAAGTATTTAGGCATTAGTAGGAGAGGAGACGTCTATAGCAATGACCCCTGCTGTTATTAAGCCCACTGCAATAAAAAAAACAAAAATTGAAAAAAGAAAAAAAAATTGAGAACTAATTTTTTAGTAGTTACTACACGCAAAATACAGCAATAGTAATATGTTGCATATTATAAAACAGAGATAGAAATTTTAAAATGATTCAGCAATAAGCATAAATAGAAGCTTTAAATTTTTTGTGTAGCTCATCTTGCATTTTTCTTTGGGGAGATACAGCCCGCAGAGTGTATGTTTGTAAATAAAGTTTTATTGGAACACAGTCACACTCGTTCAATTGCACGTTGTCTAGAGTTGCTTTTGAGCTGCCACGGTGGCTGCCTGCCCCATAAAGCCTAAAATATTTACCATCTGGCCCTTGACAGGAAAAGTTTTCCGCCTTCTGATCTCAGTAATGACAAAAGTGCTTCTAGCCCTTTACCAAGTAGGAAAAGTAAACAATCATGAATGCAGTGTTTACTGACAAAATGAAAATTCTCCAGCTAAGGAATTAGGAAAAAATCTGTTTGTAGGGAAATTCTCAGTTTCGACAAGTTTCCTCAACGGTGGACGGCATTCCATATATTTCTATGTATGCGAAGTAACTGTATTTAGTAGCTTCCCTAGATATGGTTTCCCTCTGTGGCCAGATTAATCATGAAATTGAGCACTGCGGATACGCTGGAAAACAGCACCGACATTACGCATAGCCTATTAACGGTGTAAAAACTGTTGAAGGTGTGACAAAGGAAGCCGGAGAAACACCTCAAGCCGCCATACACGGTGTCTTCACTCCAAGTATGGTCCATGGACCCCTGTGGAAGCCCGGGACTCCCTCGAGGGCCTCACAAGTTCAAAACTACTCTCATAATAACACTAAAACAAACTGTCCTTTACGCCATGTAGAGGCATGGATGCCTGGATGTCTGCATGGATGCTAGAAAAATGACAGCAGGGAAAACCACCGGCGCCTTAGCAGGAATCAACACGGCCATGCCAGGCCTGGACGCCGGTCACTATGTTCGTTACCGCCACACATGCGGTTTCTTCCAACAAATGCCCATGTCATTTAAGAACGCCCTTGGGGCGCCCAGGTGGTGCAGTCAGCTGCCCGACTCTTGATCTGGGCTCTCAGGTCACCATCTCACGGGTTCATGAGTTCAAGCCCCTGATGGCACGGAGCCTGCCTGGATTCTGTCTCTCTCCCTTTCTGCCCCTCCCCTGCACATGCTCTCTAGCTCTCTAAAAATAAATGAATAAACTTAAAAAAAGAAAAAGCTGGGGCACCTGGGTGGCTCAGTCAGTTAAGCTTCCGATTCTTGCTTTTGGCTCAGGTCATGATCTCAGGGTTGGTGAGTTCAAGTCCCACACTGGGCTCTGCATGAACAGTGTGGAGCCTGCTTGGGATTCTCTCTCCCTCTCTCTGTCTCTCTCTGCCCCTCCCTCCCTCATGCTGTCTTTCTTTGTCAAAAAAAAAAAAAAAAAAGGAAAGACAGAAAGAAAGAAAGAAAGAAAGAAAGAAAGAAAGAAAGAGGAATGCCCTTGATGAAGTAGAAAGTACTTCTTTTATTAAATCTCAGCCCTTGAGTACCTGCCTGTGCGACAAAACAGAAACAGGCACAAAATGCTTCCTCTTTATACAAAGGGCTCATCTTCTCAATGCGAAGTATCTTTGTGATAGAGTTCTAAGCAGAACTCGCTCTCTCATGGAACACCATGCAAAAGATGACAAAGTACAGTCAATTCAGACTTGGGATTTAGCAGATGTTTTCTCTACAGCGTAAAAAGTTGTTAGCCCGTCACTTCGAGGAACTTTTTTCCAACAGTAAAGTTATAACTTTAAAAAAAAAAAAAAACCACTTGAATCTGGGGAAACTTTTATCAGCCACTAGGAGACTGACAGTTTTGCCTCGCTTAAAAAGACTTTTTTGAGAGGATCAGCGGTGTTAACAAATGTCCTCTTTTCTCCCTACTGTACAACAGCAAAATATCTGCACACTATGCATAACCCAGTGAACCAGTATTTTCTAAATGAACGATGCAGAATGCTTGCTACAAAACCATCTGGGGGTAAGATTAGTTCGAAGCACAAGATGGACCAAATGGATTTGCTTTTTAAGTTTATTTATTTTTGAGAGAGAGAGACAGAGAGCGCGTGCGCACACACTCAAGCGGGGGAGGGGCAGGGAGAGAGGGGGAGAGAAGAGTCTCGACGTGGGGCTCAACCTCACAAACCGTGAGATCGTGACCTGAGCCGAAATCAAGAGCCAGGCGCTCAACCGACTGAGTCACCCAAGGGCCCCAGTGGGATTTAAAGTAAAATAAAAAAAGTTCGTTGGTAACGGTTTCTGACTCCACACAGCAACTGAACTTTGGGAAACCATCGCTTTACTAGTCATGGTGAAGTATGAAAGAGGAGTATTCACAGTCATGTGACAGGGCTATTAACAACGCTCCCTTTTCTAAGTATGCATCCGCTTAAGCCTGGATGTTCTAAATGTACTTCAGTCAAAGCCACACATCACGAGAGCGTGAACAGAAGCGGACACGGGAATCCAGCTGCCTTCTATGAAGTCAGAAGTTACAGAGATCAGCACACGGGTGAAGGGAAGCCACTCTTCCGGCGGACTTAGGTTTGTCTCGGAAAATGGTTATTGTTCACGAAAACGGTACCTACGTTAGCATGTAATGGGTTTATTAACATGTTTAAAGGCATTAGTAAGTGTTTAATTTTAGTTTCAGCTTCTAATACAGTGAGTCCCCAAAAAAATAACCCACGTAACGCAAAAGCTCAATCACTGTCAAGACCTGTAAAGGGTTCCGGGGGCCGCACACATTGAGCCCTAATGCCGCAGGGCGACCCAATCCTCTTACTCTACGTACAATTTCCTGCGTTTATTGAGAAAAAACCTGCAGACTAAGATTCTTCCTTGTTTCTCAGTTCACTTTTTCACGAGCTACGCAGGACACCCAGGGAAGCCGGAGCAGGAGTACGACGTCCCCTCATGTGCAGGAAGAGGGGGAACAGCTCCAGGCGGGAGAAAACCACCCTGGCTCCACAAGCAGGAAGCAAATCCACGCTTGAGAACCAGGGGCTTCGGGCACTTGGCTTCGGCCACGAGCACAGACCAGGCCTCGCCGCCCTCTGCAGCCCCCAGCGCCGCAGAGAGGGCTCCCGTCCGTGTTCTCTGCTCCGTTCCATTGGCTAGGACTCTTCGGGGACCCCTGTACAGCTGTGGATTTTCCCGCCAGGTAGGTGGGAAAATAATTTGAAATGGCATTTTTCAGGCCACGACGCCGCATTCCAGCTGTGCGCGTAGCGCGAAAGGTAGGGCCGGATGCCAGGATTCTCTCTCTCGATGCCAAACAGAGAGGACGGACTGACTGGGCTGAGGTTCACGGCGGTGGGACTAGCGTCTGCTGCTTAAAATAAGCAGCGTTTCCAGGGAGGAGGCTGGGATGCCCAGCAAAGACGCAGGGGCACCGCCCAACGCTGCCTAACCCTGAACGAAGCTTCTTCCCTGGGGCCTGACCCCGCTAGCCTCAGCCCTGAACATACGAATGTCAAGATCTTAAAACCCGCAGGTTTCTCAAATAACGTATAACGAGATTCACAGCCGTGTTATCGTGATCGCAAGGCAGATAACGGCAAACCCGTTCCCACCAACATGTGCGCATCTATACCCTAGCAGCGAATCCCCAACTCATAAAGAAATTGTAAACCAAACGTCATTTCTTAGGATTACAGCATAAAATTGCCTCCTAGAACAAATGTTCTAAGGCAATTAGGCAAAATAATACTATATTACATAGTATTATATACACAGGGCAGATGATTAAATAGACTTTTGTAAGCCGGTATAAGAACCTCAGAATTATATTATTTCCACATTTCCTAACTATGAACTCTGGATTTCAAGTACACACAGGCACCTCCATCCCAAATGAACACATCTGAGACTATTACTTGAAAGGCAAAATTCAGAGAGTCTTAGATTCTCCCGATTCCCCTTGTAACAGGATTTTCTGGAGATCGCCTGTGTCTATAAGCACCAGCCGAGAAGTATGGTTCCGGAAGCAAAATCAGTTGCAAACGGAAGGAAAGAAAGCAGTGGCTTACCTGTGGTCAAGATGGCTGAAGTCTTGCAAATTCAATTCCCTGGTGTCCTGTGTCAGATAAATTGTATCCACATCCTGTTTAAATATAATTAAATCATGTAAATAGTCCGCACAGATGATCAGGAAAGAGGGATGCAGAGAGAGAATTAGACAATGATACAGACAGATTTTCACATAATCTGAGGAAGGAAGATTTGGGTCGAAAAGCATTGAATAGGAAAAGTAATAGTGCAAGAAACCAGCCAGTCAAATACTGGAATATTCTCCCGGGGAAGCCTGCACACAAACACACTTACCCACTGTACTTCTTCTCTGTATGAAAATCCAAGCCAGTCACACACACAGGCGTACATCTGAGAAAATCCACCTGAAACACACAACAGAAACGTGACAGGTTTTTGGCTAAATGATTTTTAAGTTAAAGTTTAAATATGGCCGATGTTGACAATGCTGATTATTTCTTTCTGTTTGGGAAAACGGCAAAGATTCTCCCCCTTGTTCTATAGTAAGTACACAGCAGGATGCAATACAGCTTAAATACAGGACTTTTATCCACCAGTCTAAAGTCTGTGCAGTGGTAATTACACCTTAAAACTAATTGTACCTTTACAGAAGCATACTAGGAATAGACGTAACTTCCTGGCACGGGGACATCCATGCGGCCATTTATAATTTGGTTTTAAAATGCATGCTCACCGCAGGGCCCCTGCTCGGCCACGGTCTGGCTGTCCCACAGAGCCTGGAGACTGGCCAGTCGTTCAGAGGGCTCCATGGAGACTTTTTTCATGATTCTCCTGCAAGATCAAAATAACAATAAATTTCAAAAATCGAGTGGTTGGCACCGTGCATAGAAATCTATTTTGTGGTACGCCTTTTTTTAGACCAAAGATGGCTGCCACTTTGATTTCGGTAAACGTAAATTCCACTTTCTGAGCATCAAGAAGCTGGAAACCTCAGAAACTTAATCTCCTTTCTTTAGCCCCCTTTTATACGCCCAAGGAGTTATCCAGGGATGTGGACAGTCTCTATGTTATTTTGTTGTTTCGTGGCAGTAGATTGCACTAGAATAATTAGAAGACAGCGTGTTCTACTTGATGAATTATTAGCTTATGTGTATGCTAAATTTGAATCACGAACTTTCAAAAACTTAAAACACACATCTCTTCCTCCGTGCTTCCATAGTACCCCTTACAAACGTCCGTCAAGAAAGACTATGTCATGTCAGAAGAAGTGTTCCTTTTACTGTGGTTCAGAGCCCAGCCGACCACTTCCAAGTTTCACTATTCACAGATCTGGCAAAGTAAGAGGACCTACCCCGTGAGGTAATCGCGAGAAAGAAAGAAATTAATACCTGTGAAGTTATCAAAACAATCCGCGCTGCCTGGTGAAGTCTCAATAAACATTAGCCGATGCTCTCAGAGTTATCACATACCAATCGTTTCAATTTTTTTTTTAACATTTATTCACTTTTGGGAGACAGAGACT